AAAAAAAAAAAAAAAAAAAAAAAAATTGTTCCTTCTATTAACAAAAGATTGAGAGAGAACAAAGAAAAATCTCTTCAATTGCCGTTTACTCCCCAAATTAAACCAGAAAACAAAGAAGAAGAAAGGGAAAAACTGAAAACAAAGATAACACACACACACACACACACATAAAAATTGAGCTCTTTTCCAGAACACGCAGATAACAACAGATCCAAACATAACCTAAAAATCAAAACGACATATCCTCAGCTAAAAAAGCGGTTGAACAAAAAAAAAAAAAAAAACCCAAAACTCGGAAAAACTGACCTTCCGATAAGTGGTGCCATCCGGCTCGACGGTCCACCCGGCCTCGGTGCAGAGAGCCTTGAGCACCTCGTTATTGTCGCAGTGCTTGGGCAGATTGTAATTCCCCTGCGCCCTCAGCCCCGCGTAAATCTTCGCCGCGATCGCCCTCCTCCGCCTCTCCCTCCTCCGATTGTTCTCCCTCTCCCTCAAGGACGGCTTCCTCCGCCCCGCCGCCGCGGCCGCCGCCGCCGAGGCCATCGACGACGGCTCCGTCGCTCCACCGCCGGCTTCCCACAGCATTTTTTTTTCCCAGCTAATTCTCGATATCCTTCCAATTAAAATCACCAAAAATCTCTGTATTGATAAAAGAAAAATTCAGAAGGGGCGCTCACGAGGTATATGCTTCCTCCGACTTGGAAGAAGCTCTGTGAGTGTGTGTGTGCGCGCGTGTTTTGTGTGTTTTTTTTCTCTTTCTAGTGCGTGTGTGTGTGTGTGTGTGTGTGTGTGTGTGTGTGTGTGTGTGTGAGTGAGTGTTTTCTGTTATATAGATGTGTGCATGTTTTTTTTTTAAACAGATAAAGTTCTTCGAGACGGGAATTTTTATTTCTTTTTAATATTTTTTTATTTATGTTTTATTTTAATCTTAACTTTTTTGACGGGAAACGAAATAAGTGTTTTTAGATCCGGACCGGGCCCAGCTGAAATCGGTCTGGTGGGGTCATTCAAACCGCTAACATGGGAATCGGTCAAAATTTTCAATTGATCTGAACAATATATTTTATTTTTGTTTTCTTAAAATAATTCTATTTTAAAAAATAAAATTATCATATATGCATATGTATATGTGTGTGCTAAATATTTATGACAATATTAGTAAAACTTTAGAGTATAAAAATGCCACATTAAAATACTTTTTTTTATGTATAAATAAAGTTAAGAAATAGTATATATCTAAGTGAAGAATTAGAAAGTTTAATTTAGACATGGCCAAGGGCCGCCAGGCCCGCCGACCCGACACGAACTTGGCCCGGTCAAACTCGTTGACCACGTGTCTGGGACCGGACCGGATTTCAGACAGACTGTTTTAGTGTCATCAATTTCATGACCCGGCCCGGCGGGCCCGAGCCGTGTCAGGTCAATGGCCCGTTTTTTCTAATTTTTTTATTTTTTTCTATTGGTTTTTTTTAAATGACGGATCCGACCCTGTCAACCGGGCCATTGACCCGGCACAAGTATAGGTCCATGTCAGGTCCGGGTTAGTGTTTTGGAGCCCGACCCTAATTTTGGCCATGTCTAGTTTAATCACTCTATTCAGTAATTAACTCGATAGCCAACTGTAGAATTTCGTGACTGGACGCAGATCAAATTAATATCGAGTAGTTTGAAAATATTAAATTTAAAGAGATTTTTTTTTTCTAGTACACAAGAGGTCTCGCAAGCTCAAACGAGACTAACGAAATAGTAATAAATATATATTAAAAAGGAGAATAATCAAATAATGAAAATTATATAGTTGTTATACAATAAGTATTAATATGCAATAAGTCTCGTTTTGTTATACTTTTTTGACTGAAGAACTTGTGTTTTTGTATTTTTTTTTTAAAAAAAAGTAATATTGCAATTTAGTCAATCAATTATGTGTTGATTTTTTGTGAAATAAATCGGCAAATGTGAGAATTTTTTTAACGACTTTTCGTTGAAAAATGAGGAATTGAATTCATATTGTGTGAACAAAATTATGTATATATATATATATATATTCTTTTAGATTGTCTAATAATGAATGATATTCATATACATTTTTAGCTATGTGATACAATAAATAGAAAAATCAGTGGATAATTAAATAAAAGTTGAAGGAAAATAAAAGTGAAAAACAATTTTTTTTTTTTTTTTTTTAAAAAAAAGAAAAAAAAAAGCTGGTAGGATATCAGGTTTGTTGTAGTGGAAAATCTTGTTTGCATCATCATGTGTTCTTACAAAAGAGTCCTTTTATTCTCTTTTTATTATTTTTCCTTTTTATTTTTAATTTCATTTTTCACCCTTTTTAACATTATTTGTTCAGACAAAATTAACCAACGTTTCAATCAGCGTTGTCTCCTCGAGTCAAGTGCTTAGCTGGTCAACGGAAAAATCAAGAGCGTGCTGACACGTCAGCCTTAGTGGTCCCATTTGGTTCGGTTAGCCTTCTGCTTTTCCCTCTTTTTTCTTCTTTTACTATATTAATTATTTTATTTTTAATTCCATTTTCGTAAATTGCGGGTTTTCAAATTTTTCTTTTTTTTTTTTTTTTTTTTTTNNNTTTTTTTGGTGTACCACGGGTGAAAGACTTAAGGGGGTTCACACCTTCAGTTATTAACATCTTTAAAACTATAAAATTAATATTAAAAACAAACTTGTTCACATATAAACAATTCGCTCATTTGTAGAAAAAAAAAAATGAAATTCTCTTATGTAGTTATGGGAAAATGCTACGGTCTCGTTACATAATAACCATTTCGTCGGGTTTTATAACAGTTAGATCATCATGTAACCGTCGTAAATAATTGATCTAACGGTTATAAATCCCGACAGAATAGTTCCGCAACGGGACAAAGAATCTCCCGTGTAGTTATGTACACAGAAACAAGTTGTAACTCAATATACCATCAAAATTTTCTCTCTCTCTCTCTATTCATTGTCAATGACTGAATTATGTGTTGTGCTTGCCTTGTATTCATATTTTTGTGTATTAAAATTAAAAGGGAGACTTTTGGGCAAAAGAAAAGGAAGCAAATGCACTGTATACAAATCAAAACTGAATACTATACATAATAACTGCTTTAATTGCTAGGAAAATCCATCAGAAAAAAAAAATATAAAAAAAAAATCAAGAAAGTATTGCCATAACAAAGTGCATAACCAGCCATCAAAACCAAATACCTTAAGAGGAAATGCCGATTTTCGGATTCACACGGCTGCTCACTTGTTAAAGAACAGGCTGCCCACCCTCCCAGCGCTTGTCCACCCGGCCCAGGCCAGTTTTGTCCCGGGCAGACATATCACTGATAACATCATTGTGGCCCAAGAGCTCATCCACTCTATGCGTGCTAAACGTGGGGAGAAGGGTTACATGGTAATAAAGGTCGATCTTGAAAAAGCATATGACTTTCTTCGATGGAGTTTTATCGAAGAAACTTTTCGGCTAGCCGGCTACCCTGAGCATTTTACTACTGTTGTCATGGCATGTATTCGATCGGCTTCAATGAGCTTGATGTGGGACGGCACGACTGGGGAGGAATTTCGACCCACGCGTGGAATTCGTCAAGGAGATCCGATCTCTCCTTATATCTTTGTCCTTTGTATGGAAAGGCTGGCGCAGAGGATATGTGAATCAGTTGCGGCTCGAGCATGGCGGCCTATATCGGTAGGGAGGGGGACTGTTGATGTTCCGTTTCTAATGTTCGCCGATGACCTACTTCTATTTCTAGAAGCTTCGGAAGATCAAGCTGTTGTTTTATCTCTTGTGTTAGATCGCTTCTGCACCGACTCGGGCCTCAAAGTGAGTGCAGCAAAAACACAGGTTCTCTTTTCACGTAATGTATCATCGCATGAACAACGCCGGTTAGCCTCGAAGCTTGGTTTTCAGCCCACGGATAACCTAGGTAAATACTTGGGCGTCCCAGTTCTCCATGGCCGAGTCTCTAAAGCCACGTATGGCCATATAGTGGAGCGGGTGGAGAAGCGCCTAGCCGGATGGCGTGTGAATTCTTTATCATTGGCTGGCTGGGTGACCCTGACACAGTCGGTTCTGAACACGTTACCCTACTACACTATGCAAACCGCGATGCTTCCTTGCACAACCACCGCGGACCTCGAGCGAAGAAGTAGGGCATTTGTATGGGGCAGGACCAATGATAGACGGAGTATCCCCTTGGTAGCATGGCAGAATGTGTGTAAAGCTAAAGATGAGGGCGGTTTGGGGGTCAAAGATCTTCGGCGGATGAACAATGCTATGTTAATGAAACTTGGCTGGGGACTGTTGACAAAGCCGAAAGCCTTATGGGTACGCGTTCTTAAAGCTAAATACACGCTGAGTTTCTGGCCACATTTTGAAGCTCGCAACTGGCGGCAGGGGTCGACGCTGATAAGAGCCATTCGTACGATATGGCCTCATGTGGCGTACGGTATTAGGTGGATCCTAGGAAACGGCGAAACGACTCGCTTTTAGTTAGACTCTTGGCTCGACACGCTTGGGCCGCTGTGTCAATTTGTTCATGACCACTCACGTATTCCGGATATTAACTCGCCGGTAGCTAAGCTGGTTGATGACAGCGGGAACTGGAAGTGGGACCTCTTCCATGGCCTCTTACCCTCGTCTGTGGTAATGCGTATCGCGGGGACGCTTCCACCGAGAGTGTTGGCGGCTGAAGATCGTATCATATGGGGGCTGTCCACAGATGGAAAATTCACTACAAAATCTGCATATTTATCTTTGTCAGCTCAGGCATGTACAACTCAAGCAGGTAACCCGAACCGGCAACTATGGAAAGCAATTTGGCGTGCCCAAGCACCGCAGCGAGCTCGCACGTTGTTATGGCTGGCCGGTCAAGAGCGCCTTCTCACCAATGCGGAGCGTGTCCGTCGTCACTTGTCGATTTCAGCGGCCTGCGATTTCTGTGGTGACGAGGAGACAACCATTCATGTTCTTAGGGACTGCCCTTTTGCGAAGGAGACTTGGTTGCGCCTGATTCCGGCAGCCGATGTGGGCGATTTCTTCCAGCAATCTCTCTGAGATTGGCTTCGCCGGAATCTGCTGCGGCCTCGGTTAGGATGTCTTAAGAATTGGTGCAGCACTTTTTCGGTGACCGTATGGCGCACTTGGAAATGGCGCAATGAACGTATTTTTCAAAATAAACATCCAAGTGTAGCGGCGAGGGTAACAGAGGTTCTAAAATTAACGGAGATTTATGGCCGTGCTGCCGCGGCTTTCTTGCGGGTGGGGGCACCAACGTACACGACACGGTCAATTCGCTGGATCCCTCCGGCTACGGGTTGGGTGAAAGTCAACACGGATGGTGCTTTTAATCAGTCCACGGGTCTGAGTAGTGCCGGTGGCTTGATTCGGGACGAGTTGGGTCGTTGGAGGGGAGGCTTTATTATGAATATCGGGTCCTGCACGATAACGGGAGCCGAACTTTGGGGCCTATATCAGGGTTTGTGTTTGGCGTGGGATAGAGGACATCGCCACGTTATAGTAGAGGTCGATAGTCAATGCACCACAACAATGATCTCTAATTCGGAGGGCTCGGGTGGACATCATGGGGCTTTGGTTCGAGCTATTCAAGAGCTTCTTAAAAGGGATTGGTCTGTTCGTATTCAGCATGTTCATAGGGAGGCAAACTTTGTAGCGGACTTCCTGGCAAGTTTGGCGGCTTCTTCCCCGCTTGGGCTACACCGGCTTTCTTCCCCTCCTTCGGGGTTAGGCGATTGGCTTATGCACGATAATATTGGGGTGTCATACCCCCGACAAGTCCTAACTTAGGCCTTTTGGCCTCCTTCATTGTACCAAAAAAAAAAAGAACAGGCTCCTCTTCTTCCTCTTCTTTTCACCAGCCTGCACACTTATTTTTGATAAGTATCCTTGCGGAACAAAAACCGAGCAAGACATATACCTTCAAGACGAATAATCTCAACGTGAGAATAATTGTCTCTCTCGAGCTGCAAAGTCAAATAAAAGGATGAAGAACGATAAGAAAATATCCACCAACAAATAGTCTTTCTCCCCAGCAAAAAACAAGTAAAATGTTGACAAACACTTAAAATTTGGAAGTCTAATAATTGCAGTTATGGGAAAATAATCAAATATTGCATTGATGTGTTAACTCAGATCGAAACACTCGTTTATAGTCATATACTTTATTCAAGCCAGATGCACAAATTTAACCCACTACACCTACCTTTCTCAAACGATGCTTTTCGACTACAAAAATCTCAAAATCTGATGCTAGTTAGAATATCACGAAGCAAAGGCAACATTGAGAATCAAACAACAGTGGATACATTCCGAAAATCCTCACTCCACAAGTGTAATCTGCTGCATCCACCATTAGGGAACCATTTGCCAACATAGTATGGCGTGTTTGTATACAAATATATCCGCTCAAATTTTTTATTTTTTTTTTGTTAATCATGATTAAATTTAAAAAAGTTTGTATGGTTAGTTGTTAGTGGGATTTTGAGTTTATATTAAAATAATTAAAGTTAATTTAATTAGAGATGATGTGAACTGATGGTTAGTTAAAATTATGATAGTAGATGAATAGTAAATTAAAGTTGATCTGATATGTAAGAAGAATGATTGGTTGGTATTATTTACTTATCTTGATAATATTGCGGATAGTGGGGTTGCGTTAAGATTGAGTTAGATTTTAAGTATGAATCGAGTATGAGTTGAAATAATGAATAAACAAACACACCCTAAATGTTGCAAGCCTATTATACCCTTTTAAATGCATCCATAACCAAACAAATGCATTTCGTTAATTACTTGGTCTCATCACCAAAGTTAATTCTGTGGTTTGTCTTCATTGAAAGTTGTTTCCACGTATCTCCATAACCATTATATTTTTGTTTCATTAAACCATTTGCAGACAGAATCCTCATCAGTAATGACTACTCTTGACTACTCTTGACACACGTCATATATAGGTTGTATTTTGATAAGCATATAAACTAGCTTATAACTTATTTTATTAGCTTATAGGCTTCTTGTATTCAAATAAGCATGGTTTAGTAGGAGCTTATCACATAAGCTTCCTTTGGTAGCTTTTCAAATAAGTCAATTGAAATATTTATTTGAGCTAGCTTATGAGCTAATTTTACCGAAATGTTTTATCACATAACCTAACTTTTTAGCCATAAGTCATAAGCTACCATTAGCAATAAGCTCGAAATTCACTTAAAAGCTATAAGTTAGTTTATCAGCTAAGTTTACCAAATATAGCCATAGACCACCAAAGTAATGTTCAATAAGCTCAGAGTTCACCAAGTCTTATTGTATGAAGGAAAGCAGAATACTCACAAGTCCATCAGTTCCCATCAAATGCAGTTACTCCTCCATTTTGAACATCTCAGGAGTTTCAGCTGTATTTTCTTTGGCAACATCTTTAAAATGCCTAGCACGCTATTTAAGCTAGAAATTATCACCATATCATAATGGTGACAACAACATATGGATCAGCCAATATGGGCCAACAATATAATAATGGACAACAACACAAATAAACATTACAACTTACCCACTTATATCCGTCAAGCTACTGTCCGGCCTCAAAATGCGTTCAGTAGCCAGAGAATCAATTATGGAGAATTCATTAGTACGTCCGTACGGAATAGAGACCTACAAGAAACGGCTCGTATGGTCATTCAGTTATTCGAAAAAAAAAATTATTGAAATAAGGGTAAAGTATTTCCGGACTGTACGAGCCGCCGGTGAAAACATATCTTAGTAACAGTACTATGGATCATTGTTATTTTCTACGAAAGCACACTTATGCTTATGTTTTAATATTGTCCACAAGCGAGTAAGGAATTTCAATTTTCCTACCTCCAATTTCCTGTAGGAACAACTTTATAGTTAATAAGTTAAATCTGACATTTTGTATTATTATTTTTCATTGTTTTCATGCTTCAATGGTGAAGCTCATACAATGAATTGTTTCTGAAGACCAAAGCCTTCCATCGTACGTAAAGATGTATCATCTACGGTGATTTTTCGTGATTTTTCATAATTACGGCGGAGTGGAAGGGAGGGTGAAAATTGAATATAACCGCAGTCAAAAAGATTGCAGTACATATTAATGAAGATGGTTTCACTCTATAACTACTTTCTTGCAGAAGCTTCATTGAAAAGGGTGCGAATTTAAGACATAACTTGAGAAAGCAAAATAGAGAAACATACAGTTGTAGATGCCGAAAACTTCTCAGTGACTACAACACCACTATATCGCCACCCTTTACAGATCCACTGTCAAGTTAGCTACCACTAGCAGATCTACTCATTACCAGCAAAAGGAAGAATGTTAATCCGGCATAGGATTAAGGAGAAAATAGAAAGGGGAAAAGTTATGCTTTAATAATTTATGTTGCTTTAAAAAGTCTGTGTTATTTTGTATTCAAATACTTTATATTTATATTTCTGGTACTCAATGCACCAAAACAAAAACAAGGTAATGCACACATGTACAAACCTCCTCTGTTCTTTAGCTGGGAGAAGTTAAATGTGATCCGAAACAATGAGTTTTTTGGTCTGTAATCTTGTGGAAAAAAGAGGTTTGAAAATTCCTTCCCACACACACACACAATACAAACAAATAATAAATAATGATAAAAACCGTCAATAGTCATACCGAAAGAGAGAACTTGTAAGAAACGTGACCAGTGTAAAGAGTCTTCTCTATGCATTTGAGCATTACTGGATCTGTAAGACAGACGAAAGTATCATGAAAAACTTCGGTCATCAAATTTGCATCAACTAACTGGAAATGAATAATCACTGACAAAATATAGGAGATGATAGAAAAGGTTAAGGAAACATTTCCTAGAATATGATTATCCTTTTTGTTTCAGTTGTTCATTCCTTGGCACGAGTTTATCAGAAACTTTTCCTTTCCTTTTCTCCTTAACAGATGGGATCTGACCTCAGTTTCAGCAATAGCATTCATTTACAAAGATAAATAAAAGGCTAAACCCTTGCCAAATTTAAACTTCAATTGTAACGATCAAACTGTTGGTACTAACTTTGCAGTTCCTATTACCGCAAGTAATTTTTCTATGCTCACTGGCGAAGACTTTCACAAGTTCACCCTGAAATACAAAGAAACAGAATAATCAGCACTGTCAACAAGCAACCCATAATGTATTATAAGGTTAGCAGACTGCAGACCCATTCTCCTTTTCTATCATCAAGTGGTTGTACTTCAATGGCAAGATATGTATCAACATCATCTGCAGTTACAAGATAATTTGGTTGCTTTGTTCCTGTAACGAATAATGCACACAGGTCAAACAGAAGCATAAATAGAAACACAATGGAGTTGAAACCAAAATCGGTAATTACATGGATACCTTGAACATAATTGAAAGATCCGTCCTCCGAGTGCCGCACCCACTGCAAACGCAGGAAAAATATAAGCTAAAACAGAAACAACAGAAAATATGAATTAAAAAAAAATAAAAATACTGTAGATCAGAGAGTAATCCAATGCATTTCAAAAAACAGACAGTAGAGGCACCTCAAAATTGCAACTGGTTGTTCCATTTGTGGAGTATCCACATGCTTGAAGTTGCTGTCCAGGAATTGCTTCACCTGAAATTTGGAGACCCTCGATCGCTGGTAGTGGGTCATCATCTGCAGCTGATAATCTAATGCATATTAGAATTTTGGTTGCTAAACCAGGCTAAGCAGTAAACAAACTGAATTTAAAGTCATACCCTCAGAGAAAGAGGACGGGGGTTCCTCAAGAACTGGTGGTAGAAAAGGAGAATATGAGTCGGGGTCATCAAGGGGCATCGTTGTTGATGCCTTAAGAGTTCCAATTAACAGAAGGTTCGGTATCATTCATGTATCCTCTGTTCTCAAGTTCATCCATGTCGGTATTCTTAATAAGGTCGCCAAATATGACTTTTTTGCTGACTGCAACTTCGTTATTCCGAATATGATGTGGATCAGTCTGGTTGAATGAAAGCTCTGCCGGAATTTGACTAACAGGAAGAGGACAAAATAATCACAAACCAGTAAGTTACATAAATACATTAGTTAGGCCCAATGCCTTCCATCAGACAGGAGAAGTGTTCTTCCCAGCGCCATTGAGTACACATCCATCTAAAAATTTTAACTTATAGGCTGTCTGACGTCAAAATGGGTTCGAAGCACTAAATTGTATGTAATTTTTCTACATATGTGAACAACTGAAAGAGAAGTAATAAAATACTAGAATAATTGCCTAGAGAGAGCTTCAACTGCCAAAATGTTTATATGTGTTTGAGTATCACAAAAAATGCATACAGAAGTACAATCTCATAACCCTCTTACAATGTATTCCTGAGCATTAAATATTCATTCTGCAAGCAGAATTAATCAAAGTCCTCCCAGAGTGTTCTGGAAGAAATTTGGGCTAGTCTAGGACAAGCGCTCGTCTTATTGTCTCTTGGAATGGTGTAAGGTGCTGCATGTAACAGAAACCAAACTAAATGATCGCCATTGGTCACAACTAGCATAAATTATCGTTTCTGGTAATTTTTTATTGAAACACAGAAGTTTTTAAATCGTAGACCATTACAACGTAAATAAATAGAATACAGATAGAAATATTCAAATTTAAGCCAGAGCCAACCACCCAAAAATAGAGGATCGAATTGCATATGCAGTTCCGTGTAACAAAGTCCATAAACAATCTCACCTGCTGGCAAAAGGTTGATGCCTCCCCAATTCACCATGCTCCGAAGTCTTCAAATTGTCCAATCCACTTTGTGGAAGACCCAGAATATCTCCAGAGATTGTTGTCTGGGGATCCAAAGTTGGTATATTTCCATCAGAATATGTTTGTTCTGAAACCAGTTCCAGCCCATCTTTGCTCTGGCAGGCAGGCAAACCAAGTAGAGCTTGAGATATCAACTACTATTCATACTCAAAAAAGGTACTTAGAAGGTGTGTATCCTATTTAGCACCCAACACTTTTGGTACGTTAAGATTCGTTAGCCTCATAAATCTCTGTTTTCACAATTCTTAACGACATTCCATTTCTTCAAACCAAACTCTCTTCTACCTAACTTTGAAAGAAAACTACAACCTCAGGTACAACATATTTTTAACTTAAGAAGCAAACCAAAAGAACTTGTAATTCACCAAAAGTAATGTACTTGCGACTAATTAACAAGAAATCACCACTGCGCCAGCTTGATTCTGAACTCAGAGCCACAAAAACCAAAACAGAATTCTGTGGTCCCTCTCTCTATTTATATAAATGCAGAGTTTCACGAACCTACGTGTCAGTCTATGGTGCTTTGTAATCCTGTGTATCAAATTCTGGTGCTTTGTAATCATATGTGTCAATTTATAGTGGTTCGTAGTATTCCATATAGATCTGCACTACCTTCTACCTATAAAGACTTTTAAATTATAAAACACTTGAATAATTGAAATTATAAATATATTTTAAAAGTTGATAAGATAATTTATACCTTAGAATAAATATTAAATTATCAATATTAACTGGAAAATAATAAGGATGCTTGGATACAAATTTATCCAAAAAAATCTCATCAGTTTTAACTCAACCACTTTTTTAACTCCATCTTAACTCAACTCCACTATCATCAATATTATTAATGTAATTAAATAATATTAATCAATCATTCTTACACACCACATCAACTTTGATTCACTATTCATCCGCTCACACAATTTTAACTAACCATTACTTCAAATCATCTCTCTCCTACTTTTACATCAAATCAATTTTAATTATTTATTTTAGATATTATTTTAATATATCCACTAACAACTAACCACACCACCTTTTTCAAAATTAATAAAACCAAACCAAACCAAAAAATCCAAACAAATCCAAAAAATTTTATGTCCAAGCATCGATTAAATAAATTTATCAATCAAGCTCATGAGATATTATGAATTAAAAAATAAATACAATATAATATAAACAAAAACGTAAAACAAAATCTATTACAAGTGGTGAATGTCATTTTAAATATAAATAATAATGTGATTTTTAAGAATTATTTGAAACTTGAAACAAAAACTTTTGTTTTCTTTATACTCTACTGTTGCAGTTGAAACAAAGTTGCAAAGGATAAAAACAAAACCTTACTTTAATAACCTAACTCCTACATGCAATAAATATAATCTTATGGTTTCACGGATATCAGGTTACAAATTGAAGAACATGAAATGTTAAGATAGGTTTCCTCATTATCCCCACCTGCTATAAAATGCACATTCATCGTCGTAATTGCTTTGCCCACTAATAATGTCCCAAAACTCATATCCAATATAAATCAACACCCATGTCATAAGTTAACCATGCATCCAAAAAATTTCCATAGTTCACTTAACAAAAGCAGATTACATCCTTCTTTCACCTTCATGATCTCATAGCTTTTCATTCTCGCCTCCAAATGAATGTATACTAGTTATTTGCTACACGTCTTGAGTGGTTTCACTTTCACTAAAGTTTTTCTACTTCTGCTGTCAGTGAGATGTCAATGGCAACACTTAGTTTGTGTAAGGAATTGCATTGACTCTGTTAAATGCATGATGCAGTCATCTAAAGCCTCACCTGACAACTCAACTATTTTAAAACTATTATACAGAATTGGCATTCGTGTAAAATCCCAAGCCAAAAGAAAAAAAAAAATTATTTCACTAGGCTATTAAGACGACTAACATGTCAATCCTACCTCAATAGAATAAATTGGAGACCGCTTGAAGTTGTAGGGATTCACATCTGAACGCCAGGGTGCTAGCTGGCACTGTGATTCTTTGAGCTTTCCCTACAAGCAATTGGCAAAATATGATACCAGAAGTTGGCACAACATAGAGGCGTACTGCATGCCGCATCAACTCATCAAGTATGGACTAACTACATTTTGAACATTTTTCGCGCCGACATCATACCTCAGTCACAAGAAGCTGTTCCTGCAAATGTCTAAACAGAACCTGCAATTGCAAAGCTACGGTATAACTAAATAGGAGTGGCAACTGGCAATCTATCTTCACATCATAAATACCTATAGATAATAACTAGGTCAAGGATATCAAGTATCAAATCCGAGCTCATTACACCTAATTAGTAGGTTTGACTCTTTATGTGACGTAAGGAAACGTCGTCATCACTTAGATTTAAAAACTCCGAGTGACATATATGCGTCAAACAAAAAGATATTCTTATACAAAAGCAGTACGACTAAGCAAATTATAATTGATTTGTCACATTGGAAACCGTCAAGATATGAGCAAAAGGCCGTTATGAAACACTAATCAAACTTGCTATAGCATTTAGTAATATATTCTTTTCAGATCTCCAAAAGAAATCAGGATATACAATCATTAGCAGTCTCATTCACTAAAGTTTAAATATTCAAACCATATAATAGTAATTTTTATTCCAGATATCACAAAGAAACATAGAATGACCTAGATAAAAATGACTAAATAGCTGACACAGTTAGCAAATCTGAGTACGCATTCAAATGACCACATCCTGCAAATTCTTAAGATTCAAACTGATTTTAGAGATTAATCCTCTACCTGTCTTTTACTCACCATGGGGGTGATTGTTTATGTTTTGAATAGTAAAAAATCTAGAATTTTTTAATTATGGTTAAGTTTAAGAAAAAGTGGTATGGTTAGTTGTTAGTGGATATATTAAAATAGTATTTAAAATAAAATAGTTAAAGTTGATTTGATGTAAAAGTAAGAGAAAATGATTGGAAGTGATAGTTAAAATTAGTTAAAATTATGTGAGTAGATGAATAGTGAATTAAAGTTGATGTGATATGTCATAATGATTTGTTGATGTTATTTAATTATATAATAATATTTGAGATGGTGTTGTTGAGTTAAAGTTGAGTTAAATTTGTATTTGAGTAAAAAAAATTACTGTAGAAGTGGTAAACAATCACCCCCCAAATCTTTAACTCGCTGCTCACTACATTTGATGTCTATGTTAGCATGCATCTGTGACATCCAGTAGAATACAAGGAGCAGAGTAAATCAATCCAAAAGACAACAAGTTTCAAATTCAATCTGCATCTTGTTATTTTGAGAAGTAACCAAGAATAGTTGACATTCTGGTAATGTATAACTTTTTTGTCAGCTCTTTCAGTTGGATTACAGGGACAACTTCTCACAGAGACCCATACCAATAACAATTTGAATATATCACCATGCAATTTCACCTTAACAAATGGAGCCAATAGTCATCTTAACAAATTGATATCGTTAAGAGGCAATGTCATCCATAATAAGCACAATAAAAAACTGAAAGGGTGTTGCATATCGACCTTTACATTACTGACAATGGATTGTGCATTGGAAGCAAGCGGCTGGAGATAATACTCCGTAAGAAGAGGCATTAGAGAATTTATGAATGTTGTTCTTTTTTGTTGAGCAGCCTGAAAAGCATAACGGAGACTGATTGAAACTTGTTTAGCTAACACGTGTAAAACAAAGAGGGCATTACTGATGGATTATTTAACTTAATTTTGCTGTGCTCTTTCATTTATTAGAAAAATAAAAGTATGCAGACAGGCTTTCATTTCAGGATCTCATACCTGCAATGCATACGCTAGACGAACATTCTCCTCCATTATGTCTTGTCTGTAGGAAACTGCTTTAGAAGCAGCCAGAATGAGATCCTGCTGTTGCTGATCAAATGCCTTTGAATAAAAATTACCCAGGAACTCCACCAGTATTCACAGACACAAAAAATATTCATAAAAGTTTATTTTGCCTACCAGACGCATGTATGATATTCTTTTCTCGAGGGCATATTTCTCATTGCTAAATTGTGCTTCCTAAGAAAAATAGTTACAAAGTTCGTGAGGACATATAAGCATAGACATAAGTACTGTACTAAAAATAAAACCTTGCTACCTTTATTGAACATTCTGCAAGATGCTTTCTCAACTGTAGAATCTCCTCTTCATGCTTCCGTATCCTTACAACAATATCCTACCCAAATGCATTGATAGATGATAGATGACTCTAGCTCAATGCAAATTTTTAAGAAAAATAGAGATCATCCTAAACCTATCTCTTGTCGACGCAACATCAAATGACAATTCGTTGTCATTTCTAAATTACCTGCTTCGAACTACTGTCAGCCATTGAAATCAAATCCTTTCCCAAATATCTGAACTCTGAATCAAAATTGCTTTCTTGCTGGTACCTACAAAAGCAGAAAAGAAAATCACAAAAAGGACTACCACCAGTTTCAAAACCAACTACTTTTACCTGCTTCATGCATCTAATATACCTTGCAGGGGTAAACAATGTGATGGATGGTGACAGAATCTGGGAGACGCCAAAATTATTTGATGCTCCATGAGTCATGTTCAAAGATCTATTGACTGTAATGCTATCACGTTGGTTTTCTGCAAAAGTTCTCATTGCATGATTATTATCACTTCGAATCGCATCTGATTCAAGAGCAAAGGAATTTGGTGAATCATGTTCAGAAGTAAATCCCACATTTCTCTCACCATCTATATGATTTCCCAAATTTAAAACTACATGATCATTTCGATGCAGTTCATGGTCACCCAAGCGATCAGAAAATTGAGAGGTTGGATATTTGACATCACCTGATTTCTGCAGCAAATACAATAAAATATTTTAGGTTTCCACATTCCCTCAGTGGAAACAGCAGGAGGCTCGGCGCTTAACCAAACTGGAAAAATCACGTGTTATATTTGGGGTTTCCCGCATGACATGCAATTCATACTTCATAATCCCCAACTTCTAGATAAATGATACGTCTCTCTCTCTCTCTTCATGATCACATATTAGGATTATTGTATGAGGCTATATGCAGATCCAATTGAAAGCTGAACACACACACACACACATACACACACACAGACAAACACAAGTACGAACATGGATGTTCTGACTCACTCTCTCTACCTCCCTCTGTCCATCCTATTCATCATCATCAGACAAAATGTATAATGGATCCAACATCCAGTGAAGGGCTCTCTTACATATTTCTCAAGTTCCTCATTTTTTTTCTGAATTTCGGATCTCAATCGATTGTTCTCTTCCACCTGTATGGAGCAAAACAGAAAAACCGTATTGATCGAATCACGCTGCCACAGTCAATATGCTCATGAATGCAAAAAACAGGTTATATTTTGAAACAGCATTGTTAATAAGCTAACTAATGTAAATAGCAATTTCATCATAGAAGATTAAATAGTGGCAAAGGAAAATAAAATACAATAACATTCAACTACAGTAAAGTGTATATTTTGAATGAGAACTGCTGCTTTGTGTCAATGACATGGAACTTTAGAACACCATCAAGTGCAAAGATCAATTTCAATATTAAGTTTTAGATTTTGTAATCATTATATTACTCTTGAAAAGTTCACAGACAAGATTGCATTTGAGGATGCACTCCTCATGGTATTCATTTTCAATTCCCACCAAAAATCATCAGGTCAAGGGATGCAAGAGATAATACAATCTTTGGACTCTTCACTATCCACTATAAGTCCAGCAAAACGGTGGGCTAGTAACACCAAATACAGAAAGATGAAAAAACCTGCTGTTTGATCGTTGCCTCGGCAGCTTCAACTGCTCTCATAACCTGAAACAATCCATCACTGCCATTGGCACTGTAGGGATCGGTTACCCTCAATGCTGCAAATTCACTTGCTAACTTGCCTTCTCCATTCACCATTATCTTTCTCCTATGTACACAAGACTTGTATATTACAAGTAAAAATTGGCAACTACAAGGTCATATATAGATGCATGAATTTTTCCCCATGAAAGATACACCAACAATGTTAAGCAAGTATGCACCTGAGTATAGCTCACAGTTGGAGTTTCTGCTCAGCTTGTAAGTGTAAAAATTCACGTGTCCGAGCACCCACCCACCATAATTGCACCCACAATTTTTTTCACCCTCAATAAGTAAATTTTTTTGACAATTAGTAGAATTTCAACAAAAAACAAAAAAGCAAAATACACTTTTTTTTGCCTATGTGATATGCAAATGCAACACAAATAGTAAACAAGCCACAAATGACAAACCCAACAGGCAACAGCCAAAGCTACCAAATAGATATTCTTATCGACAGAACAACATGATAACAGTTGGGGACATCTCACCTCAGAGAAGATGGCTGCCGGTAGTCAGGTTTTCAGGTCGAGGTGCTGCAAGCGGGTGGTGGTGGACGTACGGGCGGCGATTTAGGGCTTAGGACTCGGAGAAGAAGGGTGAATTTTGGGTTTAGGCTCGGCGGCGAACGAGCTCGATGGGGTCTGCTGTTATACACAGAGACACTTTCAGCCGGTGGTGAGGCGGCGGCGGTCTTTCAAAGGTGGGGGCATGAGCATCGGTGCTGGAAAATTTGCCCCCTTTCGAAAATGCCCCAAATTAAATGGAAAAATGGTAAAAAGGTAGTAACATGTTTTCCCAAGGATACCAAACAATGCTGCATGGTGTCATTTTCTCCAACCAAAAATTGCTTAATAGAACATTTTGAGATGGTTACGTTGATACATTATGGGCAACAAATTGTGTAAATAGTAATTAACTAATAATATTGTTAGTTTGTTAATATAATAATAGTATATACCCCGTGCGATGCACGAGACAAAAATATTAAATGTGTTATTTTCACAAGTTTAGGCTTTTTCCGTTTAAGTACATAAAACAATAGAACTGTCATCTATTTTCAACCTTTTTTAATTAGCGTTAAGTGTATTAAACAATAAGATTATAATCTATGTTGCACCCCTTTTAATTAGTGTTTTTTTATAGTCATAACATTAAATATGAGCATGGTAGGACTAATTAATTAATATTTTATTTCATTAACACATTTATACTAATATAAATTTGATTTTAGTATATATATTTATTCATTGATACTAAGAGAGAATAACAATTCTACTTAATTTTGTTCACCATATAATACTTAATTATTATTTTATTATAAACATTGTTGTCATATAATATCATAATTATTTATAAAGTTATAGAAGTTGTACGTATTTTTTATAGTTTTGTTTTATGTAATGCAAAATATTTAATGCACGTTAGTATTATTTATTTATGATCAATATAAAATATGTAATATTTTAGAATATATACACATGTTTTTTATAATTTAATTTTGTATACTAATTAAACAATTTTGATTTAAAAAATGACAAAAACTCTCAATCCCTTCTATGATCAAGATTTTTCTAATTCGTATTATAAGGATTTATAGTTTATTTAGCATACTATGCAATAAAAATATATTTTATAAAAATTTAATTATAGAAATAAATCAAAATAAAAAAAATATTCATGTGTGCCAATAATATACAAATAAATTCTAAAATAGTTAATACATTTTATTTTTAATTTTTTACCATTAGTAAAACTATTTAATGTATTTAGTCATTATCTCTTAAATGGTAAATTATATTAATTTGAAGAACAATTTATTTTTTATATTTAACAAAATAAAGCTTAAGAAAAAAATATATTGACAAAGATTAATTCACCAACTTGACTTTGACTTCTTAGTTGGAAAAAAAAATTCTACCTAACCTGTTACGATTGTCTATAAATATTTTTTGGATAAAAAATGAATATTTGTGAAAAAAATAATAATATTATGGTTAAAAAATGAATATTTGTGAAAAAAATAAATATGGTGTAGTATTTATCTTGACCAAAATATTATCAAAATGAATCATGAAAATCAATCTTGTAATTTATTATAATGAATATTAATGAAAGTATTACAAATACTAATAAAATAATATTTATCTTGACCAAAATATTATCAACATGAATCACGAAAAATCAATTTTGTAATTTATTATAATAAATATCGATGATAAATATTTCATATATTAATAAATTTATTTAAGTAATTTTTTATCATATCTTATTTTATCTCATTTGAAAATGTGTATATGAAAGCAATTAATACATATATTTAAATAGTTTCCAAAACTTTTATGCATTAAATGTTTCCTAAATTTATGGCTACTTTTAGTAAATGGTAATTCTTATTATATATAGATATATAGATAATATAATATAAATGCTATGGTCCGTTGCGGAATCATTCTATCGAAATTTATAATCGTTAGATCATCATGTAATCGTTAGGGATAATTAATCTAATGATTACATACCGACGAAATGGTAGACCGTAACATCTTCCATTAATATAATATAATATAGGAAAATGCTATTTGTACCGCATGGGTTGTACCGCATGGTGTACCCTTCATTGAAAACGTATTCTGAGAATACGTTTTTCAATTAAATTATTTGAAAAACGTATTCTGAGAATACGTTTTTTAACCAAAGTGTAAACCCTGCGGTACAAGCTGCGGTACGTGTAGCATTGTCCTATAATATAACATAGTGTGTTCGCACGTGTCATTTTGCTTTGATTTGTGTTGAGCAACGAGGAAAATAAGCTTATGCTATTATTTTTTTGTTATATTACTTAGTAGTTGGACAACATACTATTTCAATGAATATACTTATTTTATTAAAGTGCTATATTATAAAATACAATGTAATAAAAGTGTAACATATCGTAGTATGAGTACTTATTTTTTTATGAAAAAATATATTAGTCGGCCCAACTATGCAACATTTGTAACTCAACAATCAAGTAGGTTGGCTTGAAAAAGGGCATCTCTCAGTCTCTCACTAGCATGTAGTGTTATATTTTAAAAATTTAAAATATAATTATGTTTAAATCTATTTAACCATAACTACCTTTTAGTTAATCTTACACAATTTCATTTGTATTTTGATTGGCCTCAACTTTATCATAAAACAATATTTCTCTACTCTTAGCTTTTTCCCAAGACATCAGCTTGATTTTAGGTGATGTCACATTGCTCAGTAATATTCTAAGACCTCTTTTTTTCCCCTTCATATTCTCCTTTTACAGAGGATGAAAAGTAGATCACATACATATTGAAAAATGAAACCAAAGTAGCAGATTGACCATACTTAACTAAGGCAGTTTATGATGAGTCGTAACTCGTAGAAGCGTAAATGAAAAAGCAGTCCTTCATCATCACATTCTCCAGTAGGAAAAGAGTTAAAAACTTAAATCCCAGTGCACAATGAATAAGTCCCGCATAAAAGCACAATGTTACAGCAGCATACAGATAAATCCCAGCTTTCTGCTTTCTTTAGATACACGATATTACTGCAAATTAAAACGACCCTCGGATTTTCATAGCAGAAAGACCTACAGATAAGACGAGTGTCACAATGTACAGCCTTCTGAACTTCCGGCAAAGCTGATGCAAATCTTCACAAAAGGGCTATATGCAGCGTGAGAAGTAAGTCTGGCCCACATAGCCACCAGTCATAGCTCTCCTGACGTTCGATTCGAACATTTTTGGGTTATCTCTCAGTACTGCAGCAGCATCATGATTGAGAGGATCCTCGTGGTTCGGTTCCTACGCGCAACAGAGATTCGTAAGAGAAATATGAAGATAAAAAGGAAGAATTTTGAGCGAAAAAACTATAAATGAGTACCGTAAAAAGGTGATAGAGTCCATAGATGATGGTGTTTATGTTCAGCACCGGTTTCCAGTCTTCCCTGAGGATGTTTAGGCAGACATTTCCTTCCAAGTCGATATTGGGATGGTAGACCTGTAATATATTGAAATTATAAGAATGGTGTTATATTATAAAGTGGCCACGACATTACATGGAAACACAGAGACGTTGTTAGTATTAGTCTTACCTTTGTCTTGCATTTCACCTTTGGAGCATCATGAGGATATAAGGGAGAGATTTGGAATGAGAAAACAAATGTTCCACCCCTGGAAAAAAGGGTAATCGTGTCGGTAAAAAAAAATTGCACAAGAAAAAAGAAAAAGGAGGAAAACGAAAAGAAAAAAAGCCTTTGCTCAGTGTTTAAGTACTTACAGATAATATCCCTCATCAGGGCGAATGGTAACTTCAAAATTCATGAGGTCATCCTTGCCATTAGGGAATGATATGCTACATGTTTTCGGCAGATTCAATTCAGTAATATCTACATTCCAAAAAGAAAATTAAAAGAATAATCAATTTGATGTAAGTCGTGTTAAATGGATTAAGGGAAGAAAGGGGTTTCCAGAGAAGACGCAAGTAAAGAAGACATAAGTGCATACACTCAGCAAACTGGAAATTTGGAATTATGATGGACACCTTGGCACTATGCATTTGCAGATATCTTTATGCAACAGCATTAAAAAAAATCAGGCATGCAGTCATATCAAATTTTGTCCAAAGCCAAAAAGAGTTGCAGAATCTTCTAATAATTTATTTTAAGAACACTCTTAAATGTGCCAGATCCAATTTTAAAAAAAAAAAAAAAAAAAAA